ATGTCTTGACCTCGTGATCCACCCACCTCGGCCTCCCAAAGTGCTGGGATTACAGGCGTGAGCCACCGCGCCCAGCCATGTTTAGCTTTTATAAATAAAATGGATTCTGTAGTTTTAGGATAATTTAAATACACATTAGATACCAGAGACTGAAGATATCAGAAAATAACCTTTTATACAAAAAGGGTTTCTCAAAGAAGGTGTTCAAAATTTACATATGATTATCAATTTGTGACAGACCTCAGAGACATGCAAAACAGCATCCTTGTCTCAGCAACAAGAACTCTGTTTCAAACTTTCAAGCGTCACCAAAATCTTAACTATTGATGCTAAAGGTATTGCTAATTTCAAATTGTTTAGGGACAACAGAATACAATCTAATACTAAGAGAAAACCCAATCAAATTCTATGGGAAACTATGTTCTTGATTTTAAGTACTTTTTTAAACATAGCAGGTAATAAGTGTTAAGAATATTTCTCAAAAACTCAAGTTCTAACAAATTCCCTCTTTTAAATTTCCTAGATATCCTTTTCGTAAAATTCACTTTTTATTCCCTGCTTCAAATCCCTGAATATTATGACATGAGCACTGTATGAGAGAAAAGAGTCTCAAGATTTTTATCTTACCTGTTTCTAAATCTCCTCTGGGCCTGTGGAACTCAGTTATGTCACCTAGATTACAATGATCTCAACCCTGAAGATCCTGAGGAAGACTGCACAACATCCCACAAGCATTTTTCTTACTGCCATAGTTTGTATTCAAAAATGGCAGAAACAGAGCTAAAATATTGATTTGTTTTTTGTCTGTCCAATCCATATCCCTTCGCCGTTTTCAAAAATTCACATCGTGCTTTAAACACCATCCGAAGTACAGCCTATAGGTAACGCTCCTAGATTATTATGAAACTCCTGAGAAGGGCGAAAGCCAAAGTACCAAGAGTGCCAAACAGAAATGTAGAATCTCACAGGAAAGCAGAATTTTTAAAAAAAACTTGTCTGTAAGAGAATGGTGCCTTGATACAGAAACTTAAACTGTGATGAGTTCTCCAAAGGTCTGTGAGAAAAAAAGGACAGGTGAGAAAAAGAGTTAAGAGGTGGTGACAGGGAAAAGGGCACACAGGCACTTCTCAACGGCAGAGATGCGAGAGCCCTGGAGGTTGGCCACCTCCCTTCTCATCCGATGGTTGATCGAATCCCCTCTACATATCCCAGGCTAGGATCGCCCAGCCTGTCCTTATTTTAGAAGTCACCTCTCCCACCCCCTTCTCCCAATGCCCCCTTTCAAGCACGATGTCACCCACCTCCAAGGACCGTGCCCAGGAAGATGCATTTCTTTTTGTGACGTTTCAGAAAATTCCATACAGACCTCAGCATCTTTAGGCCTTAGGGCTGTGTGGGCTGACTAGGGGCGAGGGGCTGCTTCACCGGGAAACTGTTTCTTCGTCACCTGGCCCGGATGACCGGGCAAGAGCGCCGTCGTTCCGCTCTGTGGTCTCCCGAAATCACAAACTTGACTTTCCGCTGAGCTTGACACCAGAGCGGGAAGGAGGCGTGGACTCCAGCAAGGCAGCTGCGCTTTCTGCCGCTGCCGCCGCGCCGCCGCCTCCGCTCACTGGTCCGACACGCCCAGGTCCGTTCAGAAACCGCTCCCGGGTGTCTTGCCATTCGACTCCCCCGGAAACGGGAGACTGCGTCCGCCGCGTTCCGCTGCCCGCGCTCCTCCTCCGCCGCGGCCTCTGGCGCTGAGTGGCGGCAGGGTATGGAGGCGAAGGCGGCGCCCACGCCAACTACAGACGGCGCGTGCTCGGTGTCGGCAGAGGAGACCGAAAAGTGGATGGAAGAAGCGATGCACATGGTGAGGAGTCCGGGAGGTGGATGATGCGGGTGGGAACTTTCTCCAGCCCTCAACCTCACCCCGGCTTTTGAGCAAACGTTGCGGGAGCACTTTCTCGTCACCATAATTTTTTATGGCAGTCAGATGTTCTGGGTGAACCACTGGCTTTACTGCCTGGAAACTTTCTGTAGCCCATTCTCACAGTGGCTCTGGGCGAAGGAAGGGGAGGAAATAAATTATTTGTTTCATTGGGGTGGTGTATGCTGCAGACTTATTCTATCGCTGGCTGGCATGTGCTGCCTCTCTTTCCTTTCTGTGGTCACACACTCTCAAATCTACAAAGTCACATTGTTTGAGGTTTTGGCCCTTGGTACATGTCTAGTAGAAGAAAGGAAACTGAGAACGTTTCTGGTAGAAAGCAGTGTGGAAACAAGTCCCTGTACAGTCGCCGTCTCGCATTCATTCATTCTTTTCCTCTGCCCTTTTACTTCCTTCCCTCACTCCCTTGAGGACTTTGGAGTAAAGGGGGGTCGCAGTAGTTGGGTGTCTGCTAGGGAGCTTCTTAACTGGGATCAAAGTTTGTTTGTAAATATATGTATTTACATTTTAATAACTGTACTTACAGCCACATAATGACCTGTCCGTAAAGGTCGTTATCCTGGAGCATTAATCTGCTAACCTTACCACTATTGTCCCATCCAAGTACTAAGCAGGTCTGACCCTGGGCGCCTTCAGGGTGGTATGGCCATAGATAACACTGTTCTCTATGTAGATTTCTTGGCTAAAGACTTTTGCTACCTTTTAGGTGACCTTGGGCTAGCACATGTAAATACATTTTTGTACGTTTACAAACAAACTTTTATCCCAGTTAAGAAGCTAGCTCACTAGCACTTTTCAGCTCCATTATAATCTTATAGGCCCACATATACTGCAGTGGTCCTATAGAATTATAATGGAACTGAAAAGTTCCTATGGCCTAGTGACATGTAGCCGTCCTAACATTGTAGCACAATTACTTTATTTTTAAACAAATTTAGTGTAGCCTAAATATACAGTGTTTAACAGTAATGTCTTAGGCCTTCACATTCACTCACCATTAACTCACTGACTAATCCACAGCAACTTTCAGTCAGTCCTTCAAGCTCCATTCATGCTAAGTGCCCTATACAGGTATACTATCCATTTTTCATCATTTATACTACGTTTTTACTGTACCTTCTCTATGTTTAGATACATAACTACTTACTGTGGTGTTACAACATTAAGTTGTAATGGCTACAGTATTCAGGACAGAAAAACATGTTGCATTGGTTTGTAGCCCAGGAGCAATAGGCTATACCATAGAACATTTAACATCATATTCTGTGATGTTCTTTTAAACTTGCTTCTCATGCTTTTTAAGGTGACCTGCAGTGAAAAACCGATTTCATATTACAATCCAGGAAATGAACATATGTGTATAACTTAAATAAAAGTTTCACAGAAGAGTTCTTACCCTTCTTATGTATGTTCTTCTGGTATTTCTATTTTACTACATGATTTTAAAATGATGGTCATGATTCACTAACATGACATCATGGCCCATTCTTTAAGCCTACTTGCAAATTTATTTCTTCCATTAAACTTCAAGATGCATAACCTTCTATCTGACACAAGAAATTGCTGGGCATGGTGACACACATCTGTAGTCTAAGCTACTTAGGAGGCTAAGGCTGGAGGATAGCTTGAGCCCAGAAGTTTGAGACCAGCCTGGGCAACATAGCAAGACCCCATCTCAAAAAGAAAATTAATGTTCACATATACATTTTAAAGATTAATTTGTAATATGGGTTTATTTACCCTGAACTCCTTTTATGTTGCTAAATTTTCCAAGTTAGAGACAAGTTTTTATGTGATATCAAAATTTTACTTTTTTCCCCCAGATCATTTCAGTAATATCATGTGCTAGTCTGTTTCTTAATAGTATGATAATAAAATAATAATGATGCATGAAGGCTAAAATATCATAAAGTAAGCTGCATTTGTATCCTTTGATGGATGAGAGATTTAGAAAATAGGTGATGCCTGAATGTAGGGAAGTCAGAATTCATGGTCCCTTCTATGTTCATGAACTCTCCTAAAGGTGTTCATGTCTACACTTTACTTAGATGACATTTTTAGAGCTGCTGTCATAGTGGTTTCAAAAACAGCTAAGTTTAGGGAGTCATTGAGTGAGTCTTTTCACTTTGTATATTGGAATTGTGTTTTCTTTCCATCCTTATATTTTAGATCTTGATTTCCCTTTAAGGGTCTTTTGGTCCTAATATCTTGGAGCATTCATCTGCCCACCTCAGCACTGTTCTCCCAGCCGAGTACTAACCAGACCTGACCCCGCTTTTCTTCCGAGATCAGATGAGATTGGGTGCTTTGAGGGTGGTATGGCAGTAGACAGTGCTATTCTCTATGTAGACTTCTGGGCTAAACACTTTTGTTATCTTCTTGGGTGGCTTTGGGCAAATCAGTTTATCCCCCTAAGGTTTTGCTTTCTACTCTATAAAATAAATTGGTAGAACTTCAAAGAATTTCTAGACCCCTCTAGCTTTGACATGTTTGTCTCTTAATTGTATTATAAACACCAAGGGGTCTGATTCCATAGTTTACCTCCTCCAACACAGGATTAAGGGGGGCAGCTACTTCTTGGATTTTGGCATGTACATGTTTCTTCAAGGTCTTAAAGGAAAAAAAAGTACTTGTCATAAATCTGGTGCTTTATTTTCAACCATCAGCTATCCCCAACCAAAGGTACTCTTTGATTATACTCTTACATTATTTAGAAATATCACTTCTTTTGAGAACAGATTTAAATTAGACCAAAGGCATAACTAATAATCAAAGCTGGAAATGGCAAGTTAATCTCTGATTAGCTTGTACTGAAAGTTGAAAGTGAAATGACCACACAGACTGGAATGTGATAACTGTTCACTGTAATCTCAAAGTCCTGGGCTCAAGCAATCCTTGCACCTCAGCCTCCCCAGTAGCTAGTACTACAGGTGTGTGCCGCCACACCTGACTAGTTGTTTAACTTATTGTAAACATAGATGCTCACTGTGTTGCCTTGGCTTGTCTTCAACTCCTGGCCTCAAGCAGTCTTCCCATTCTAGCCTTTCAGAGTGCTGGGATTATAGGTGTGAGCCACCATGCCTGGCCTAGATATAATGTTACATATCACACATAATTAAACAAGCAGAGAATATAAATTATTTTTACTATACATATAGCTTTAGAGGTTAGCTATTTTCAAATGGCTACTGACTAGCAAACTAACCTGGACAAGCTGTTAATTTTTTAGCCTCAGTGTTCTCTTCTGTAAATTGAGAATATAATTTCTATCTCAGAGGGTTGTGTAGGCTGAGAGATAATGTTTGTAAAGCACTTAACATAATATGCCCAATAAATGAAAACTTATATTTACCAGGTGAATGAAGACTAGACAAGAACTTGCAAAAATAGTTAACATGCTAAAATTATGGATGATTTTAAAAAAAAATCAATAAATTTTTGTAGTAAAAATCTAATTGAAAAGATAGAATTAAAGAGTATAAAAAATAATAAAACCATAAGAGAAGCTGAAGTAAATAAACATTAGTATTTATATAATCTTGGAATGGAGATGGACTCTTTATACCACCAAAAGCAGAAAACATAAAAGAAAAACAGATAAGTTGTCATTACGTGGTAAACACTTACATGTTTAAAAAGGTAAGATACAAATAGCATGGCCAGGCACAGTGGCTCATGCCTGTAATCCCAAACACTTTGCAAGACAGAAGCAAGAGGATCTCTTGATTTCAAAAGTTGAAGAACAGTCTGGGCAATATAACAAGACTCTTGTCTCTACTAAATAAAAATTAAGAAATTAGTAGGGCATGGTGGCACCTGCTTGTAGTCCGAGTTACCCAGGAGGCTGAGGCAGGAGGTTTGTTTGAGCCCTGGAGATTGAGGCTACAGTGAGCCGTGACTGTGACACTATACTCCAGCCTGGGAGACAGAGCCAGACCCTGTCTCAAAAAAAAAAAAAAAAAAAAAAAAAAAAAAAAAAAAAAAAAAAAAAAACAGATACAAAGTAAAGGAAATGACAAAGAAGGAAAAAATTTGCAACATATATAAAAGGACAGATTTAATAACCTTAACATATAATTTATATATTTATATAATACATAATTTATATAAAATATAAGTACTTTCCGAAGTAAAAGGAAAGATGTACACCCTAATAAGGAAGAGGTCAAAGGATATGAATATGATATTTCTTTTTTAGATTTCATTTTATTTAAAAAAATAATTTTTTTTTGAGACAGGGTCTCTCTGTGTGGCCCAAGCTGGTATTGAACTCCTGGGCTCAGGCAGTCGTTCCACCTCAGCCTCCCAGAGTGCTGGGATTGCAGGTGTGAGTCTCCACACCTCACCTGAACGTGGTATTTCTAAAGGAAGTGACAAGTAGCCAGCAAATCAATGAAATTCAAATTACAATGATGTACAGTTTTTCACCTGTTAAATGGGCAAAAGTGAAAGCAGTTTTAATGCTTGGTGATAATAAGGGTGGAAGGGTGTCGTGTTTGAGGAGTTTGTTGGTTGGGAGGAGCTGAATTTAGGTTACCCTTTCGTTAGGACAATTTGGCTAGGTAGATATAAAAGGCCTTAAAGGTGAACTTTTCCTTTGATCCATCAGTGCCCTTTTTTTTTATTTCCAAAATGAAAATATTTTAATGTTTTCTTTTTCTGATTATGTAAATAATTCATGGTCATAAGAAATTCAAACTATAAAAAAGTTAACAAATTATGTAAAAATTACCTAAAAGTGCTACCATTAGCGATAATACTATTATTATTTTGGGAGCATCCCTCCATATCTCTCTGTCCATATGTAAACAGCCATATATACCTTTGCATAAATGGAATTATAGATTCTCTTTTTGATTATCAGCACTTGCTTTTGGGTAGTCTTAATATATTATTAACTTCTCCCTACCTCACGGTACTTC